ATTATTGATATCAGGTAACTTTGGTACAGCATTATTGATATCAGGTAACTTTGGTACAGCATTATTGATGTCAGGTAACTTTGGTACAGTATTATTAATATCAGGTAACTTTGGTACAGCATTATTGATATCAGGTAACTTTGGTACAGCATTATTAATATCAGGTAACTTTGGTACAGCATTATTAATATCAGGTAACTTTGGTACAGCATTATTAATATCAGGTAACTTGATGGTATTCTTCGATCACTTAAAACTAAATCGAAATATATATTTTCACTCATATTTTGATTTTAAATTTTAAATTTCTCACAAAAATCTTACATTTCTTATCATTCAATAGTTCAGCCTTTATTTCCAAAATTGTCATATTTGTGTTAAAAACAAGAAATAAACTTAGAACAATTTTATAAGTTTACATTTTTTTCAGGGATTCAGATCAAGTATCCTTGGGGCTTGTGGACCTAACACTGAATGAAGTTTTTGTTGGACTGGCAGCCAACCTAGTTTCTTTCCCCATAGTATTACTGATTACTATTCTCTTCAAGTATTCAAAATCTAGAACTCTTCGGAAGAATAGAATTGTTCGAGCTTTAAATTTAGAGGATGAAGCATACACCATAGTTCCAAACATAGGGTTAAGTTCTGCTGATGGAAAAAAGAAGAAAAATTTTCTGCTACCCTGGTTCTGTTCTGTACTAGGCTGGCTCTTATGTCTGCTATCGATTGTGGTGTCTGTATATTTTCTAGTCACCTTCGGGGTAGTGCTGGGAAATCAAAAAGTGCATAGGTAAAAGTAAAAAATTGAATAGAAAAATGGTTGTTTAATGATAAATGCAAGCTTTTCTTCTCCATTCATGTCAAAGTAGTTAGATCAATAACATTTCCCGGATTTTCCTGTTTCTATATTGGTGGATTTCAAACATTTTAAATTTTGACACAAACACAAACCTTCCCGAGGGTCATGTGAATTAACAATTTAAAGTGTATTGTACGGACAGACAAAAACAAAGAAACCGACACCAAAACACTCGCAAATTAATATGTATGTTTATGAAATGATGTGGTTTTAGGTGGTTAGGATGCTTTTTTGTCACATTTTTCTCCAGTTTCCTTATTGTCGAACCAATCAAGGTAAAGTGTAAATATCATTCTTTTTTTCTCTGAAAAATTAAAAGTTTATGCACTGCAAGAAATATTTGTCTAAATTGCCTAGAGTATATATTTGCCTGCAACTAGCTTTATAAATACGGCGACCTGCAAATCCGATACTAAAGCGCCTTCCAATCCCTCAGCGGCTGTTTGAATTTGCAAGTCGCCAAATTCAAATTTAATAAGCTGAACTTTCTAAAAAATAGTTCAAGAGATTCAAAATTAACAATGTATTCACACTGTTCAAACAAAATCAGAACTCTAGAAGAGAACCGAAATTTTATAAAAACTATTGAGGATAAATCAGTGTTAGTCAACTTTTACTGGTTTCCTGCGCTATGTCTGTAATATATCATAATGTCCTTATTATAAATGTGAAAATATGTTTTTTAATAAAGTATTCGAGAAGCAGAAGTGATTGTTTAGGTTGTCATCTATGCTGTTGTGTATCAAGTGGTTTGTAAGATGGATCTTGATGATGATCTTGATGACAGTGAAGCAGATGAAGAGTCTGTAATGATCAATCATGATCCTGAATGGGATTCAGATGAAAAAATTATCAAAACCAAGGTACTTTAGATATATTCTATAGGGCTTGCTCCCAACATCCCAACGACTGTCAAAAATAAAGAAAGTTAAAATCTTAAATGTATATTTTAAGTTTTTGATGAAGTGTTTTTAAATAACCCTTTATTTGAGAGCAATACGCCCAATTAACAAAGTTTTAATATCAATGATTATAAATAATTATCTTATTAAGTAAATTGTAGATTTACTCAGCAGAGTTTACAACTAACTAACAAACATGTTTAGACCTATATACCATACAGTGAGGAACATCTTGAGAACTTGAGGAAATCTCGAATAAAGGAATTGAAAAGCCAGGCCTTTGCTAAAGAGATAATCACGTACATCATCTTCCTTGTCATGATCTATATCATCTCAGTAGACAACAGGGATAAGAACTCCATATTCCTCAAGAATCAGATTGAGAAGAATTTTATTCTCAAAAACAAATTTCACGAGGTTAAGTTTCAGGGGTTTATGTTTTCTTAAAAATTCTTTTACGCCTCCGAATTTCATTCTAACACAAATGTTAAGTATGTATAAGCCAAATTATTTTGGCGGAATAAAACAAAAATTTTATGTAAGCAGTATCAGAAAGGTGAACATTTTTTTCCCATCAGCATCGAAAATCAAAGGAATCAATTTTTGAAAATATATATTCCGTTTTAATTTCACTTTTAAAATTATAAAGATGTTTAAAACTTACAAACTCTATTTTAACAGATTGTTACAACTGATGACTACTGGAAATGGGTACACTCAACGTTATTATCTGAACTAAAGGCAGAGTTTGCAAATTGCATTTAAAATCCACCAAAAGTAGCTGAAAAATATTTAACAAAAAATTCCAAAAATGAAAGTTTAAACAATGAAATTGAGTCTTTAGAAATTTTAGAAAATTTTAGTTTGTGCCAAAGGCTCAATTGCTTTTCTTATTAAGGAACTATATTAACCCGATTCCTGCTGGGGGGGGGGGCAATTTGACCCCCCCCCTTTAGTTTTCTGACTTTTCCAAAATATCCAAAGCCCTCCCTTTAGGCCTAAAACCAGGCTTTTATACTAACTGCCTGAGTCCTCAGGCACATAGTCTGAATGACAACTTTTTCTTGTAAAAGCTAAATCTCGGTTTTAACCCACTTTCAGATATCTGATTTTGATAAATTTTAGCTTTTTGGAAAGCCTATGACAGAAGAATTCGAATTGCACAAACAAGAAATTTTTGCAAATTATTTGCAAACAAGTCGTCAAAGGAAATGTGCACATTTTTAGTTTTTCTTAATTACCCGTCAGGTTATTTAAAATTTAGCAAAAATTCTTGCATATCTGAAATGGCTTTTTCAAGGGCTTTTCAAAAATGTATGTTTTACTATATGACTGGATTTTGCACAAAAAAAATCATTTTTTGCAAATTTGCAATTTTTTGCAGATATTAAAAGTAGAGCACAAGAGCTTCTCGATGATGTATCATTTGTCATATTTGGATAAAAACATGGGATTTAGACGGGGGGGGGGGTCAAATTACCCCCCCCTGCGTATTCTGGTTTTCAAGTACCCCTGCAGGGATAGGGTTAACTCTTTGGCAAATGAATAATTAATTAATAATTGGATATCTCTTGATTCATCCTATGTTTTGAAAATTTCCCAGATCCCTTGAATTCCCAAATTTCCAGATAATTTAAATTTTCCAAATTTGACCTTTTGGGGGATTAAATCAGTAAATGGTCAACTCTGATTGCAGGCTGGTCCATTATACAACGGTGATCCACCGTATGGATTACGAGGATTTATTGGAGATCATACTCAAAGAATTCTTGGCTTTGCAACTCTAAGGTATTGTTTTATTGTTCTTAAATAATGAGTATTGAGTAATATATAAATATTTTTTATCATTAAAGAAATAGATATTAGGCTTTAAAGATATCGGAATTCAAAAAAACTCAACCTATTTAAAAAAAAGCCTATAAAACTATTTGTCAGAACAGTTTTATAAATGTGTATTTTAGGCAAGTCAGGATCAAACGTAACTCCTGTACTGTAGCTCCATCTGTAGTTGATCTAACTAAAGAATGTGCTCAGCTCTCTAACCTAATAAACGAGGAGAAGAAAGATTTCTGTAATGCTTGGGAGGAAAGGACTGAACTCACCAAAGGTTTCCCATCCTGCCAGTCCGCAGAGTTTAGGTGAATACAATTCACAAATGTATCAGCTTACTTTCTAGGATTATCAGTGTTCAACTCTGATAATTCCGATATGTTTTCTTGCAAGAGAAATACGCATTTTAAATTGTAAATAATCAGTTTCTCATAATGAAGAAAGTTCCATCTTTTGTGTAGTCTGTCCCTAAATAAATGTAAAAAAAAAAAATTCAAAATGTATTCTCTAAGATTGTGAGTGGGATAGGGTTTTCAGCGAAAGCAAACTTTCTTTAAAAAAAATGCGCAAATTTTCTTGTGTATTCCGCAAACTTTCTCGCGGAATTTCGCAATTTTTCTTGAAAATGAATTTTGTTGAGGCAAGCCCAAGTTTTTGCTTGGAATATGCGTCCATGTTTGTTTTCCGTGCATTATTTGTGTATTTTTTTTGACAGAATAAAAGCATTTTTTCGCGAAATGTTTGCGTGGAATTTGCGCGAAAATATATGGTGTCTCTATAGCTTGTACATTTTTAGTATTTTTTTCCTGGACTGTAGCTGTACAATTTTCATTAAACATTTCAAATGAGGAAATTTGCACGTTTTATTTCAGCAAAATCAAAAATTTTCGCTCAATTTGCGAAATTCTTTGCGAAACGATTTGTTCATTTCGTTGGAACCCAACAGTGGTATAGAAGTTATAAAGAAAAATAGTATCCCAAAAAAATACCAGAATTGCTTGAGAATTGCCTACATGCATGCAGGTACAAGACGGATGTAGAGATGCAAGGCTGGCCTATTAGTGCATGGCGGGATACCTATAGCGGTGGGGGATATGTTGTCAATTTAAAAGGTAAGAATAGGGTTTTAAATCTCTCCATTTTTTACAAACTAACATTTTTTAAGAATACTAAAACTTTTTGAGGTTAAAACGGTGTACGTAATACGTAATAATTATTTTTATAATGAAAAGGAAAATGAAATGAAATGAAACATTTTACAACAAACAATCTGTGACTTTTAATAACAATTTTACCTATTTAACATAATTTGTTAGCATTTTACTTTTTATTTTTTTTGTCGCCATTTACATTTAAAATAACAAGGTAAAAAGGAATAGTTCTGTGAGTTTAAAGATCGGGAATTAAAGATCAAAATACGATTCAATTTAAATAGAAGTATAAACTTTGCGTAACTAATAGCCCTTGGTTAGTCTAACATTTTCTTTATAATATTGAATTTGAATTTATTAGTAAAACCATTTGAGCTTAATAGCTCGGAATAGGGATAGTTCCATTGATGTAACCCCTTCAGTTCTCATAGGAACCCGGAGCTAAGCTCAGATTTGATAGTTCCATTGATATGTAACCCCCTTTAATTCTCTTTTCTCATACGAACCCAGAGCTAAGCTCAGAGTCCGGCGTATAAACATGACAGCTTATTAGCTCTTCTGTATATATGCTATAGGTTAGACAAAAAGTGAGGCGGATGGTAAGTCGATTTGTGTATGATATATTAAGATAGTTGTCCATTAAAAGATGTCATCCAGAAATCATGCTTTCTGCACATAAATGCTTTTAACGCGTGGAAAAACCCAGCCGCCGTTAAACTCTCTTTTTAAAATTCAGGCCAACAGGCTTTGATACAAGAGGGAACGAAAAAAAGGTTGCCAAGCTAAAACCAAAGTAGGAGTTAGTTGTTACGAAGATCGAAACGCGGAGGTTTTACCCGTCATATGAGGCAAAAGAAAGGCAGGAGTCTGCCAGACAGTTCCAGCTTTATTCAACTTATTAGTATCAAACGTTATTTCTTCTTTTTATATACTGTAAATACATTTTGTTCTATACTCCGTAGACTAATTCACATCAGTTTCAGGCTTTACATTTTCTTTACTTTTGACCGTTTTTAAATGGTGTAACATAGTTACAGCACTGGGACATATTTCGCGCATTTCGTTCTAGATTAAAAGCAAAATATTCGGAGTACAGCCTTTTAAAACTTATATTGTGTTCCTAATTTCTTAAAATCTGTTTAGGAACAAATGCAGCTTTATCGGACCGACTTCAATACCTTCAAGAACAGCATTGGATTAACAATCAGACTAGAGCTGTTCTTCTAGAGTTCGGGACTTACAATGTCAATCTTAATCTCTTCTCTGTCGTAACTATTGCCGGAGAATGGTTGCCAGGGGGCGGGGTTTCTCCATACTGGCGAATAGGTAGATATCTATAATAGTCTTTATTTCAGGTTTTTATAAATCTCAATTTTTTAGATCCGATTCGGTTGATCACAGTTTTCACGTTCTTTGGTACCCTCGCTGTTATATCCCAGATAGGATGCATTGGGTTCATTTTATACTTCATGCTCAGGAATTGGAATCTTATGGGATTTATTATAAAGATAATAATAATATAAATAAAAAGATCATAAAAATTATAAGAATAATAATAAAAATAATATTAATACTACGACTAATAATAATAATAACAATTACAACATTAAAAGTTGTAAAAATCAAAAATGGTAATAAGTGTAGAAATCTCTGTCTATCTGTAGAATACACAACTTCAAAGTATGAAGTTTATAACATATGTCATTGTGTTTACATCATCACCGAGGACCTGAATAATAAGAAGCTTTAGTTTCTATCAATAATAATAATAATAATAATAATAATAATAATAAAATGAATGATTCCAAATCTCAGGGAGATAACAAAGATGTTTAAGATGAAGATGGAGTACTGGAAATCCTACTGGGCGTATGTCGAGGTTGGGATAGTTCTGGATGCATTCGCAGCAGTAGGTCTGTTCCTCTATAGGAATATGTTAACCCAGGAGATTATGAAGATATTTGCAGAAACCTATGGAAACGGGTTTATCAGGTCATTTTAGTTAGATATGATAAAGTTTGTTGCTAAAACACATGTATGTTTGTACAGAACGAACTTATACAATTACATAATGATAATGATAAGTATGCGATTATTAGGTAAAAATAGCTCTTAGATGGTTTGATTATTTTTTCCACCTATTTTAAAAAAAAAAACATTTTAATTAAATAGATTTAAGAAATAATATTAGAGATCAAGGTACGATTTTATTATAGCAAAGAGTTTATGCATTTGTTAGAATGACTAAATTTAGAATAATTACGTTACATCCGTCCTATGATACTTAGGACCTATCCGCACGTGGTTTTTCAGCAGCTTCAAGCACCCTTCTGATGGTCAAATGCACAATATTTGTAGGTCGGATGCACAACATTAGTAGGTCGGATGCACAACTTTTTAGGTAGCCGCAGCGCTCGGCCAAGAAATTGTCTTAACCTAACCTAACCTCACATTGTCTATCACTTGGTTATTTTGATAAATGTGGCCGCAGCGCTCGGCCCCCTTGTCTGTCCTAGCCGCAGTGTTTGGCCCAGAAATAGTCTTAGTCTAACCTTGTGCATCCGACCTACAAAAGTTGTGCATCCAATCTTAAAAAGTTATGCATCCGACCTACAAAAGTTGTGCATCCGACCTACGAAAGTTGTGCATCCGACCTACAAAATCTGTGCATCTGACCTACGAAAGTTGTGCATCCGACCTATATGTGCGCAACCGGAACATCGATTCTTATGGTAGCACTGTCAACTACATACTGACTATATCTGCAGTTCCTGCATAGGTCAGATTGACAAAATAGAATGTACATCCGACCTACAGCTGTCGTAGGTCCGATGTGGCGTAGGTCCGAAGTATCGTTGGACGAAAGTACTGCAGGACGGAAATGCCGTAGAGCAGAAGTAACATTACCCATATATCATTGAAACCCAGAACCATAGACCCTAGATATTTCGAACTATTAATTCTGTTATAGATCAAATAAAATAATGAAATGTTTGAAATATCCAAGGTTTACACCTTCAGGTTGCAAGGAGATATATATAGATTATAAAAATTTAATTTGGGGGCAAGTCTCAATTCCTTTCCTAAAGATAATTATTCAGGCTGCAATGGGTTGGAATGATAGATGAATACTACGGGTACACTATTGGTCTACTCATGTTTATGGCAGTTCTCAAGCTCCTCAAGATCCTGGAGTTTAACAACAAGATGTCACTCCTCAACTTTACACTGCTCAGATGCTGGGAGAGTCTTTCCGGATTTTTAGGAAATTTTATTTTATTCGGAAAAACATGAAAAGAACACCGATCATCAATTAAGGACGTTCAAAATTAAGATTTGATTAAAATTTTAAAGATACAAAATGGTCTAATTCCTAAATTCTCTTCAGTTTATAAGAGCAGATTTGAATAAATCTCAACAAAGATTACGAGACTGACGAAATTTTGGTTTATGAAGACGACTTTAACACTAAATTTATGATGTTACATACAGAGCGTTCCCTATCATATTGGATTATCTCGAAGCTTCAACACAAAAATACGCACATAATACTCGAAAAACCTTGTATTTTCTGTGTTTTTTATATTAGCCTTATATATTTTTTTTATTTTCTGATTATTATCTTAAATCTCAATTTTGATTTTTTAACATCTAATATTATGTGGGACCCCTCGTATAATCTAACCAATAAAGAACAGCTGTAATTGAAAATTAAAAATTGTTAAATGTCGTCTTCCTATTTTACAATTTTATTGGGACAACTGTAGCTCAATACAATTTATAATAGAAACATCATTTCTACAAGATCTAAGCCTCGTGCTTAGTTTTAAACACTTTAAAGTTATACAGTAAAATAAAAAACTACAAAACAAATCCGATTAAAAACTTGCACATACCGAAATTGAATGAAATTTTTTAGTTATCTTCTTCTTTGCTTTCTTCTCTTTCGTGCAGATGTTCTACTTCATCCTGTACTCGGACATGAAAGACTTCAGTGATATCGGGAAGGCGTTCAAGACTTGCTCAACCATGATGCTGAACAAGTTTGATTTTGGAGAACTTTTGGTAATAATCATAAAAATATGAATACTTATAAAGTAGAATGGACAGCAAACTCATGGAATAGCATGCCTGTAGTGTATGTTTTCTACAGTTTTAGTCGCATACAAATTTAAATCCGTTTGTTTCCAGAATTTATTGATCATTTTTCATCTATTATGTTCGTTTAATTCAATGATCATTCAATTAAATCGTTCGTTCAGAAAAAAAACAATCATTTATATTAATTTCATGCGAAACAGAACCTTTTATAAGTTTGTTAAGTAGAAAACGATATTTCTTTCAAGGTTGTTCGAACAAAATATGTAAAAATCGTTCATTGACGGTCTGACTGATCCATAAAATGGAAACGATCGTTAACAATTAGTTTTTAAAAAATGAACGTTATTTTGAATTTTTCTGAAAGATCCAATTTTCACAAAAATTGATGCCCATCCCTAACCATAACTTTAAATTGTTTCTTTTTTTAGCAAACCAGTCAAACAGCTGCAATCATGTTCTTCGTCTACGCTGTCGCTGTCAACACTCTTCTCATCAATGTGCTGCTGACAATTATCATCGAAGGTTAGAATTTCCGTTAACAAACTTTGTTAAAATAAATGGAAAATAATATAATATATGATTTTGCAAAGAAAGTTGCAGAGTTTTAAATAGCTAAAAACCAGAATGTAGAGAAAAAGACTGAATATATTCCATTCAGCCGTCTCTAAATTTTCATGTTTCATGTTTTGAAAAAGGAAAAATATGTATAGAATACTTTTTATCTTTTGATTTCAAGGTTATGAGGAGGTTAAAGCAGAGTTGGAGGGTAGGAAGAATGAACTTGAAGTTATACAGTACATGAAGGTGAGTGCACATATTTGTATTCAATACATGAAGGTGAGTTCACATATTGATATACAGTACATGAAGGTGAGTGCACATATTTGTATTCAGTACATGAAGGTGAGTTCACATATTGATATACAGTACATGAAGGTGAGTGCACAAATTGGTATTCAGTACATGAAGGTGAGTTCACATATTGATATACAGTACATGAAGGTGAGTGCACATATTGGTATACAGGATATGAAGGTGAGTTCACATTCTGATATACAAATACATGAAGGTGAGTACACACATTGATATACAGTATATGGAGGTGACTACAAATACTGATAAGCAGTGTATGAAGGTGAGTACACATACTGATACAGTACATGAAGGTTAGAACACATATGGAAATACTTTTAAAGGACATGAAGGTAAGTACACATATTAATATACAGTACATGAAGATGATATTGCAGTTAGAAAAAAGAAACTTTCGCTTTTTTTAAAATATCGTTTTTTAACAACTCAAAAACAATCGTTTTTCATAAAATAAAACGAGCGTTTTTGAAAACTACCCTTCGTGAATAAGTGTTTACGATGAGTGATGATTATGAACCTTCGTTAACGACTATTAACGACGACCCTTAGTTGATGGTCTTTAACGACCTTTTAAAGAGAAAATACATTTTTTGTCGGAAAATCCGAGGTCAGAAAACATTCAGGTTTGTCTCGATAAAACAAAAACATTTAAGACAACATTCATAACCTTATCTTCCTGAAAACATTCAGGTTTGTCTCGATAAAACAAAAACATTTAAGACAACATTTATAACCTTATCTTCCTGAAAACATTCAGGTTTGTCTCGATAAAAAAACATTTAAGACAACATTTATAACCTTATCTTCCTGAAAAAAACTTGAAATTCGTTGTTATAAACGTCAAATTCTTTAGCGAACTGTTTTTTAAAAATTATCGTTTTCAAAAACGATATACACTAGGGAAAGTGCACTACACATATAGATAGTTGTACAATATATTGGAATTATTTGGATTTGCATTAAGAAAGCAATATGTTTAAGGAGGGAGGGGTGGTAGCGTTTTGGATTTTGGTTTGCTCCCAGGGTTTTGGAGTGTTCCCAGGATCTTAAAGTTGTTCCTTGGGTTTTGGAGTAAAATGTAAAAATGTATCCGACTTTTTTGAAGAGTTCTTTAAAAAGGGTACTTTAAAACCAAGAGTTAAAAAAGTGCTCTGCTACCCCTTTTTTGCTGTCTATTTTTAGTTATTTGCAGGAAAAAAATGCAAATTTTAGTCCAAGTAGCCTGTGGCTATCATATAGTTTTGATTAACCAAATTAACTGCATTTGCTTTAGCCTATACATTAAACATTGTTGGTAAATGTAAAAAGAACCTTTTTTAGCTAGATACATTAAGCTGTTTTATTTGAGGATGTTTCAACATCTTAAAATTTTTCACAAGTTATCTTATTACCCAGTTTTTTTGAGAAAAATCCAATTATTTGCATAAAAAAATCTTTCATTGATTGTATTCATTAAATGTTTAAGCTACAACAAATGTCGTCAGTTTGACTAAACAAGAGTCAAAACTTTATGATCAACACATGGCTATTTGGACTGAAATTTGAGATTATTTCCCTTGCAAATATCTTAACAATGACTGTAAAAAAGGGGTAGCAGAGCCCTTTTTTAGATTTTTGGTTTTAAAGTACCCTTTTTAAAGGACTTTTCATAAAAGGTCGGATACATTTTCACATATTACTCCAAAACCCTAGGACCAACTCAAATATCCTGGAAGCACTCCAAAACCTTGGGAGCAATTCCAAAACCAAAATAGCAGCCACCCCTCCCTCGTGCAAGTTTACAGAAGAGATTAGGTTATAAGCATTTAAATTAATTATTAGTAGAAGCAAAATCTCATTTCTAAATTACCAAATATTCTAGGATGTGATAAAGTTTATGGTTGGAGCAGATAAAAGACCTAATTTCCTAGAGGAATTCTCCCCAGAAGGTACAAAGGGGGGGGGGAGAGGCAGAAAGGATGAGCCTTTTCAAACGACTGTACAAACTTTTTGATGGTTGATTCTGTAATCTAGACTTGAAAAGAACTTAGATGTAAAAAGCCCAGATTGAGTGGAATAACAAATCATGGTTATACACAAACTATATTTACATTATAACGATACAAATGATAAGTGTTGGACCAACTAAAGTTGATATAAATACACATGATATTTGCCCAAGTGGAATATATTTCCATTCGACTCTTCTGATCAGACACTTCGTTCTAACTGCTGGGGTCTTGGGGGATCGGGGATAAGATGGCCGACAATCCTGCTTTCTTCCCCTGCTAGATAAATGCCGTTTCACTCCTTTCTCCAGCATAGATCATACCCTAGTTCGGCCCTTTAAACCGTATATCTACCAGATAAGAAAGGGTTCAATACCCTCTTTGGCCTATCCTGTTATATACTTCTAATGAAACATACTCGGAGTTCATTATCCTCTTGGACTGAGTCTGGATTGTTTGGCTTTATTCTTGGATTGCATCTATTAGGCTTTATTTCTCCGACTGGGAGCAATGAACTGTATGATACTATATACATATTTGAGAACCTTTTTTTGGGTTCACAGTATATTTAGGATTCAAGTCAATTTGGGTCAAGCATCTTATTAACTTAACTCTGAAGTTATAAAGAATAAGGGGTATTTTTGTAATTTAGTAAGTTTGATGTTATTGTACCACACTTCTATGCATTATTATTTTACTTTTATTTGACTGCTGATTATTGTTAATGTAGGATTAAAGAATGAACAGTTGGTGATCAATAAAGATGACGAGGCACTAGATCAGGAGGAGGAGGAGAATGTAGTTGATGAACTACCTGAGAAAGTTGATGAAATTCTTCAGGTAAAGCACAAAGCATCATGTAATTTAATTGTAAAAGGAAATGTTGATTTAACATATGATTAACATATGCTCCATACACAGCAGTACCAACCTTATACTAAGAATAAATAAGAATGTTGTCGTAGTTCTTATATCTTAAAATATCAAAAATAGGGGTTTAAAAGAAACTGTAAGTGTAAATTCAAGTGACCTGTCATTTAAGTGGGGAATCCTCGATTCACAGGGGTACCTTTAAACCTTGGGCTGATCAAGGATGTCAGACATATTCATGTTAATCTACAACAATGCTTATAATTGTTAAGCACTTTGTTTGAATACTATTAAATATTTCAGAAATATGAACGGCACTTTCTAAAAGTGGCAAAAAATCTAAATTTACTTTCAAATGTTGAAAAACCGCGTTTAACATGACGCTAGTAACGAATCAGCTGTGTTGATCGGTGTTTAGCGGCCCCCTTTAGTTTTTTGTCCTAGCACTATCATTTTTGACACTATTATCGTAAAATGTTGTGACTTTTAATGATTAATAATTTAAAGGATTTTTTGTAAAAATATTCTTTTTAAATTTTTAGGTTAGGGTACAGGGAGGGAAAAAGTCCTGTCTGTAAAAAAATCTAAAATAGCCCATAACTTTTTAAAAATTTTTTTGACTCTTCTTTAGGCATTTTTTCAACCCTCTATAGCACCCAAACTATTGAAGTTATCGGTCTAATTTTTTTTTCTTTGAGCTGGCCTTGAAAAATAGGGCTTTAAACATGTATTTCAACCCTATACCTATTCTCTAAGGTTTTTTGAAGGGGGGGGGGCGCCGAATCCCCCCCAGGCTATACATAGATTTAGAGTCCCCAGCCTTTATAGGGTTAAGAACGATTCAAAAGCTATTTATCACATTTACACACAGAGCATCTTCTATACATTCGATCCCCTTAAGCGTTATAGTTAAAATTCGATATTCTTAAATATGTCAAAAATACTTTATTTTGTATCTGTTCATAGGTTTTACTTTTCTAAGTTCTGTTGTTCTGATTTCACTGTATTTTAACCCTATCTCTGCTACGGTACTTGAAAACCAGGATATGCTGGGTGGGGTCAATTTGACCCCCCCCCTTCTAAATCCCATGTTTGATGTCCAAATATGACAAATGATACGTCATTTGAAAGCTCTAGTGCTCTACTTTTAGAATCTGCAAAAAAATTTGCAAATTTGCAAAAATTAAATTTTTTATCGCAAAATCCAGTTATATAGTAAAAATGTCTGCAAAAAAAATTTGTCCAAAAAATGAAAAAATATACATTTTTGAAAAGCCCTTGACCATGCAATTTCAAATATGCATAAATGTTTGCAAAATTTTAAATAACCTGATTTTTAATCAAGAAAAACTAAAAATGTGCAAATTTCCTTTGACAAGTTGTTTGCAAAAATTTGCAATTTTTTTTTGCAAAACTGTGCAATTCGTTTCCTTTTGTCAAAGGATTTCCAAAAAGCTAAATTTTATCAAAATCTGACAAGTGAAAGTGGGTCAAAACAAAGATTTAGTTTGTTACAGGAAAAAGCGGTCATTCAGGCATTGTGCCTGAGGACTCAGGCAGTTAGTATTAAAGCCCGGTTTTAGGCCTAAAGGGAGGGCTTTGGGTATGTAAGAAAAGTCAGAAAATTTCAACAGCCTCAGACCAATACTTTTTGAGTTATGAAAAAAAACTAAAGGGGGGGTCAAATTGACCCCCTTCCCAGCAGGAATAGGGTTAATATTCTTATACAGGGTGTCCTATGAAGCATACAGTTGTTGAATAGTTTTGAATATTAAAGACTTTTTGCATGTTATTTCGTTAAAAAAATCTTTTCTCAAATATACTTCAATTATATAATTAATAAATCAATTTTACAATAATATAATTGGCATACAATATTTTTCATTATAGTCTTTGATATCAAACAGCTTAACTATTTATAGAAGAATACATTTTAAGCTATTCACAAACTGTCGTGTTTCGTGGGACAACCTGTAGTTTTAATAGTTCTAATAGTTATAATAGTTTTAATTTATTGTAAATTAAGCTCTGAAAAAAATACACTCTGTAATATTTGTAGTGAAGATGGGAATTCAGTGACAATTTCAAAATCGCCTTTTTTAAATTAGCATTGTATAATACCTGATTTCAAAAGCCATACTATTAATAAGTTTGCTAGAGTTTAATTTATGAAAACGAACGGCTGTAAAAATGTGTCCATAATATGAAGACGGACAAGTTAACTCTGTTGTATACTGTTATTTTTTGTTTTACTAAGTACAACCGTTTGCAGTCAAAACATAAACAAACAAATTTTAAACATAGCAGACGAAAATCTACGAATTATTATTATTAATTATTACTATACTAAATCAAAGAAATATTTTAAAAGACGATATTGAAATCGTCATTCAATTCCAATGTTTATTGGGACACCCTGTACATCAATTCCACAGATATTGATAGTGAAACTTTGTGTCTAAAAAGTGTAATATTTTAGTACATAACTCCCTATGTTAAATGGTAAAACTTTGTGTTTGTGTTTAAGCTCAAAAAAGTGTAATAGTTTAGTACATAACTCCCTATGTTTTGATGGTAAAACTTTGTGTTTGTGTTTAAGCTCAAAAAAGTGTAATAGTTTAGCGCATAACTCCCCATGTTTGATGGTAAAACTTTGTGTTTGTGTTTAAGCTAAAAAAAGTGTAATATTTAAGTACATAACTCCCTATGTTTTGATGATAAAACTTTGTGTTTGTGTTTAAGCTCAAAAAAGTGTAATAGTTTAGTAAATAACTCCCCATGTTTTGATGATAAAACTTTGTGTTTGTGTTTAAGATCAAAAAAGTGTAATAGTTTAGTACATAACTCCCCATGTTTTGATGGTAAAACTTTGTGTTTGTGTTTAAGATCAAACAATTTTAATAGTTTAGTACATAACTCCCCATGTTTTCATGGTAAAACTTTGTGTTCGTGTTTAAGCTCAAAAAAAATATAATAGTTTAGTACATAACTCCCCATGTTTTCATGGTAAAACTTTGTGTTTGTGTTTGAGCTCAAGAAAAGTGTAATATTTTAGTACATAACTCCCCATGTTTTGATGGTAAAACTTTGTGTTTGTGTTTAAGCTCTGAAAAAAGTAATTTTTTAAAAATATTTTTAGTACATCAATTCTACATATTTTGATGGTGAGCTTGATTTGAAGACGAAGAAAATGTTTGAGAAAGGAATGAGAAATCAAGAAGGAACAACAGGACTCGAAATACTTGGAGTGGACGACCTCTAAGTTAAAAATGTTCTGGCTAAATATATTTAAAAAGATAATTTATTAGAAGTGTTCCTTAACTTAATCGATTCCCAATTATTTATTAGAGGTTCACATTGTTTTTCTTTTCTTTTTAACATAATTTTTCGAATCTTTTCAAGTGTATATCTTAATGTAATTCACGATCATGGTCAATTTTATAAAATGTCAAAAATGAAGACGACCAGTGATAAATCTAAAATGCTTGCAATTGTCGTCTGCTTTATATTTATAAGTATGTATTTTAATATTGTGAAAATGTAATTGTCGTGTTTGTTTTTCTTTGCTTTAATAGTTTTTAAGGTTGTTTGTCTGCCCTACGAGAATAAATAAAATATAAGATTTTAATTTTATAGTTTTAATCAATGAAAATTCATTCTACACCGCTTATTTTCTTTATTTGTTATTGTGATTCAGTATAAATTTAGCTTTCAGAGAAGAAGGTCTTGCAAGGAGCTTCTAAAAATATTCAGAGATACAGGGTGAGAGAGAAAAAATGACAAACTAGAGAAACTTTAGCCAGGGGGTGTACAATGAGGGTATACATGAAAGGCCCATGCATTCAATTTTTAACGCCGTTGATTTTTTAACCGTTAATGAAACGGATAAGCCGTTTTGCAAAAAAATAGCCGTTATAAATTAAAACGAAACGGATTTCGTTTTTTCTTCTGCTTAAAATTGCATTAAACTTTAAAAAAAATTACGTGTTTTGATGTTTTTAAATGTCGTCTTCTGTTTCGTAATTTTAATGAAAAAATAAACGCTAAAAACACTTAAAAATTTATTTTTGTGATTAAAAAAGATTGAGAAAGCCTAAAATTTTTCAGTTTACAATTTTATGGTAAACATCTGTAACGTTTGTAAAATATTTATCAATGAAAAAAACTGCTTTTAAAAAAGAATTCTGCAAACCTTATGTCATTAGAATAATTGCTTAAAAAGAGAGACTAATATTTATTTACGGAGATTTTTGAAATTTAAAATCTTTAAGCGAAATTTCAAGGGACTCTTTATGCAAAAATGTCAATGCCCGATTTACAATAGTATACTTGAAACCTTTATCTGTTTAATGTGTGGAAGATATTGTCGATTTTCCAAATTCAAAATTGTATAATTGTTAAAATCAAATTTGGTTTCCTTTAGACAAAGCTTTTGAGGATACCGTTGTGAATCTTGCATTGCCATCTTTTAAGGTTTCCAATTGGAATTCCTCGAAATTGCGCGCAATGGTTGCTTCCGCTTGCGCCATTTCATTGCGCGCAATTCCGCTATATTGCAAAAAGGAAGCAATTAAATATTCGCGGCATTGCGTGCAACGGAATTACTTTTCCATCTAAAAATTAATATTTTTAACTGTTTGACTTACAAATTTATGCTACAGATACAATTAAATGGAAATATCTCGGTAGATTTTAAAATAATCGAGACCCAAGTTTCACAATTGTTTCAACAGTTTTCAAATATTTAAGTTGAGTCTAAAATGTCATCTTCCCATACCAGAGTTTTCTGGTTAACATGCTGTAAATGAATATTATAGAACAAAAGATTAAGCTTAAATTCAATTTTCTTAGCATTTGATGTTGTTGAAAGGAATTGCGCAATAATTAATTGCATTTATTGCGTGCCATGAGGTTGAAATTGAATATTGTCAAAAAGTTGAAACACAAACGCAAGAAAATTGGACGGATTTGCGCGCTATTGCGTGCAATTATTATGGAACTGCTCTCAATTAAATTCACTTGCGCGCAAGGGCTCGCAATTGCACGCAAGTAAACTCCACTTGCGTTGGAAACACTACCATCTTTGAATAGAGTTTCAAAAAAGGCTACCAATTTTGTTTAAATGTTTCATCAAAATTAAAAATTAAGGGCCGGACGAAAAAATTTAAATCTGTGACCGTAAAGTTTGTTCTACAAAATCAAACAGACTTTATTTAACGGGACTTTTGACGCATATTAAGGTGATTTTCCATTTTTAGACTGATTCACAACGGAACACTTTTTGCATAGAACAGATAATAGCCAAAAGGATATAGAGCAAAAAAATGTAAATTAAAGTATGGAAACACTACAACAAAATGGCCGTTCAACACTTTTTTCTAGTTAATTCCACTCTTTACTAATATATTCTCTTTGACTTAGAGTCTCACCTGGTCACAATCGTTGTTTTTCTTAAACAAACTTTGAATCTCGAAATTTTCCTTCATCGACTCTGTGCATAAATTCACAAATACATTTTTACAGAGAAAATACATTAACAAAAAACTTTTGACAAATCTGTCCAGGGTTGTACATCGAATACAGTCCCTTTAAATATATATCAGTTACTCACCCCATCTCTGATTTACTCAATTTACTAACTGCTATTTACTGAAGATACTCCGGGTTGATTGTCAGATCATTTTAGATCCATTAACCATAACATATCATAACGATCAGGAACCCCTGGACCGATTTACCTCAAATTTGGATTGAGGAAGTCGGGAGAACCACCGGAATATTCTCAGTGGTTCGACTTTCATAGCAAAAAAAATAGTTTCCCGGTAACTACTTGAATAACTTGGGAAACGCTTGGTTCCCAAGCTAATATTGTATATATATGGATAACAGTAAATAAAACTAATATTGAAAGATATATGATGATAAAATAAATAAAGATACTGATTACTAGGTATGTAAGCGATTTACCTCTACCTCCACTCTTGCTCAGCCATGACATTCTGCCTCCTTTAGGAACTATAATATATATATATATATATATATACAATGTACAATCTATATGAACGTTTTATTTATATGTGCTTATTGTACAAGCATTTTCGTGGTTCTTCAAACTGTTCAATCAAAATTTAAGACAAATCAGTCAAGTGGTTCAGCAGTAATGATTAATGATCGTTCATACAAACTAAAAAATTAAAAATCGACATTTCCTTAAGATCTGTGATTTTAAATCGTTAATTACTGGATGAGTTTCTAGTTTTTTTTCTTTTGTGAATGGATTTGACATTTTCGATTTCACCCTCATTATAACAGATTATATTCTTCTTTATAACAGATTATATTTCACCCTCATTATAACAGATTATATCTCATTATACCAGATTATATTTCACCCTCATCATAACAGATTATATCTCATTATAACAGATTATATTTCACCCTCATTATGACAGATTATATCTCATTATAACAGATTATATTTCACCCTCATCATAACAGATTATATCTCATTATAACAGATTATATTTCATCCTCATTAAAACAGATTATATTCTTCTTTATAACAGATTATATTTCACCCTCATCATAACAGATTATATCTCATTATAACAGATTATATTTCACCCTCATTATAACAGATTATATCTCATTATAACAGATTATAATTCACCCTAATTATAACAGATTATATTTCACCCTCATTATAACAGATTATATTCCTATTCATTGTAACAGATTATATGTCACCCTCATTATAACAGATTATATTTCACCCTAATTATAGCAGATTATATTTCACCCTCATTATAACAGATTATATTTCACCCTAATTATAACAGATTATATTTCACCCTCATAATAACAGATTATATTTTCCCGCAATGGTTTTTAACAGAAAAGTCCTGTGGATCTCGTCGAAGCTCATTTGAAGTCTGAAAGACAAAATTTATGGTTAAATAATGTTTTCTTCGTGAATCAAATAACTGTTGCTCTTTTATTCCTCTGAAAAATCATATATTGTTATGTACACAGCTCCCATCCTTGTACACCAACCTCAAGTTCTTAGTAATCCTGTCTTTGGTCCTCCTGCACAGCATCATTTTGATACTGTACATAATTATCCGTACACGCAGGTAAACTGTACATAATTATCCGTAAATTTAGGTATACTATACATAATTATCCGTAAACTATCATGTAAACTGTAAATACTTGTCCGTATACTCAAGTATACTCTTCATAACTATTCGTATACTCAGGTATACTATACGTAACTATAATTGTTTCCACTCAGGTACAATATCAATACTAAGGTATACTGTACATACTTATCCGTATTCTCAATATACTGTACATAAATATCCGCATACTTAGGTATACTGTTTATGACAAGTATACTGTGCATAAATATCCGTAGACTCAGGTATATTGTACATAACTATCCGTATACTCAGGTATACTACATGTAACTATAATTTTTTCCACTCACGTACAATATCAATACTTAGGTATACTGTACAAACATATCCGTATTCTCAGGTATAATGTACATAAATATCCGTATACTCAGGTATACTCTTAATAACTATCCGTAGACTCAGGTATACTGTACGTATCTATCCGTAGACTCAAGTATACTGTGCATTCCTATCCGTATACTCAGGTATACTGTACATAATTATCCGTATACTCAGGTATACTGTACATAGCTATCCGTATACTCAGGATATACTGTACGTAACTATCCATATACTCAGGTATGCTGAATATAACTATCCGTATACTCAGGTATTTTGTACATAACTATCCGTATATTTAGGTATACTGTATATAACTATCCGTATACTCAGGTAAACTGTATATAACTATCCGTATACTCAGGTATACTGTATATAATTATCCGTAGACTCAGGTATACTGTGCATTCCTATCCGTATACTCAGGTATTCTGTACATAATTATCCGTATACTCAGGTATACTGTACATAGCTATCCGCATATTCAGGATATACTGTACGTAACTATCCATATACTCAGGTATGCTGTATATAACTATCCGTATATTCAGGTATACTGTATATAACTATCCGTAAACTCAGGTAAACTGTATATAACTATCCGTATACTCAGGTATACTGTATATAATTATTCGAAAGACTCAGGTATACTGTGCATTCCTATCCGTGTACATAATTATTCGTATACTCAGGTATACTGTATATAACTATCCGTATTACTGTACATAACTATTCGTCGACTCATGTATACTGTACATAACTATCCGTTTACTTAGGTATACTGTACATAACTATCCGTAGACTACGGTATACTGTACATAACTTTCCGTATACTAAGGTATACTGTACATAACTATCCGTAGACTCAGGTATACTGTGCATTCTTATCCCTTCGTAACTATATTTTTTCCACTCAGGTATACCATGGTAGATGTACAATATCAATACGCACCATAAACTGCAAAATGTGCACAATACATCCTATGAACAAAAAATTAAAAATTTCCCAAAAAATGACAATATAAATCTATTTTAGCAAAATGTTGGCAGTTTGGAAGGCTCAGTTGAATCAACCAAGGTATTTCTTTAAGAAGAAAATAATGCCATTGGATTATAATCAATATAAAAATTCAACGTTTTTTCCTTGTTTTGTCAACAATTATAAAACTGAAATTATTGTGCATTTTAAAAGAAATAACAACAAAAGAAATTTCTAAGATTTTCCAATTTTTTATTGGTGGACTTAATTTTTGAAAAGATTTTTTTGAATTTATATTTACCCTACACATTTCCCCCTTGGTTCATGTAAATATAACAAAATTAAATTTGGCACAGCCGACGCATTAGATACAAAACAAACAAACAAAAAATCTAAATATCGAATTTTTTTAAATACAACATTTTTTTAGCCTGTCGGATATCAAGTGCTTGATTATCATTTCGAGAAGGTACATTCTTCATTAATATAAGTTGTTTTGTTGTACAAAATATATCTTTTAGTATTTTTATCCCGTTTCCTGAAACTACTATTTAAACTTACAGTGTTTACATTGGAAGACGATATTTAAAATATTTATCTGCATTTGTATTTTTTAACAAATATTTGTCCGACATGCTTGATCATGATTAGATAAAGGTTTGAAGGGTACCGTTGTTAATCGGGCCGGAATACTTCTCTTTTAATGGAAGGTCACTTGAAATTACGTTTACAGTTCCTTTAGTTTTCTATCTTGGCGTAATAAGTTCAAACTTGGCCAAAGCTTGAATGAGAAACTCAACTTTTTTTGTATTAAAGACTGGTGTTCAAAAGCAAAGATATTCTCAACACATTTTTGTTCTAAATCTTGGATTAGATACTCGATGCCAACTGCATGACTTGTAATCAAAATTCGACTTATTTCCGACCTGTAGTAGTTTTTCTTGAGCTAATTTCAAACTAGTTTTTCATACCAGTGCAGAGGCCGAATTTAAAGAACTTGAGCCCTGTCTGGAATTTGAGACGCGGCTCAAGCATGGTTGGTTTCATTTAAATTTCTTTTTAGTGTTTCGAGATTTGAGTCGGCGCTCAAATGGAATCAGATTTAGGCAGTTCAGCGACATGGTTTGAATTCTAAAAATTCGGCCTGAGTTCTGTTTGCTGAAAATAAAGAAGGAAAATGAGGATTATTCCTCAGTAATGTTTAGGTTGGGAAAGGAGAGAGGGGGGAGAAAGTTGCTATTGGAGAACTTCAGCACAATGCTTACATTAACACCAGAATACGACCAGTAAGGTGAGTACTTTTAAAAAGTAAAAAAATACACAAAATTTTAAATAATTCAGAATTTTTACACCAGGCTTCAATACGCTCTTAGTTATCCGGAACTTCCTGAGGAAAATGCAGAGCATAGATCATTATTAAACAAACATGGGGAAGTTATTAAACAGATTCAACCAGATGAAGAAGAATCAGAGGAACCATATGATTACGACGATGATATTTACAATCCTCTTGACTCCTTTATTCCTTTTAATAATGATAATACACAACCAAATCATGATAATCCTATTGAAATCGGGCAGGCCACCTTTTGGCCTTTCGGGCAACGCAGATTTTCTGTAAATGTGCCAGTTAATTCCCCAACTGCTGTTTACTCAGCTGAGCAACCAGCTGGCCAGTCAGGTACAAATCAATATTCATTAAAAGAAAAACTTTTTTTAATTTATCAAAATGCAGATAGTCTACACTTCAAGCTAAACAAAAGGGAAAGATTTATTGATTGTGTAACCTTTATTCTCCATTTTAGTAAAGCAAGCTTATATTATAGGTTTATAAGGTATACGTTTAGAGCTTCACATTTTTTTCAATAGCTCTTTAGAAACAGCATCGATATTCTATGATTGGAAACATGATTTCAATCAAGCATAACATTAAATACAAATACTACATGTAATGATGATATAGATCATTTGATCTAACAGAATCCTCAGGTGTAAATTGGGTTGCGAAGATATTGGGATTGCAAAATAAGAGTTTGAGGGAATGAATCAATTCCTTTGATATTTATGAAAAAAATAATCATTTAGGTGGCCAAGAAGTAAAAACAGAGAAAATGGAACAAGGAAACATTTTAGATGATCTGAAGGTAGTTTAGCATTTTATAAACAGTTTAAGTTCAGTTATTAAAGTTTTTACATTTTGAAAACAAAGGAATTGAGTTTTTGCACACGTTCAAAATTTCTAATCTTAGCAACTTGACGGTGTAAACCTTTTAGACTATTCAATCTAACAGAATTTATAGTTTGAAATATCAGAGGTCTACACCATCAATTTGCAAAGATATAGTGATTTGAAAATCTGAGTTGATGGCAAAAACTCAATTTCTTTGACTTTTTCGCTTAACTTTTTATTTTTAATCAAATACACATTGGTTATAAATATATTTCAATGCAGCATTTCACTAAGCAATTCTGGACTGTTATAGAATATATTTGCAGCTGTACAGGGTTTCGTTCTGGGCTGTTATACAATATATTTGCAGCTGTACAGGATTTCGTAAAAACAAACTGTTTCCCCAATTTGCCGGATCAAAGGACAGGCAACAAAAGAGTAGAAAGGAGAATGAAGGAGGAAATATTATGAAAATGATAATTAAATAAATTATTTTTTGATGGTTTGGATCCTTTAATAAAAAAGAAATTATTTAAAAGAACTATATACGCTAAAAAATATATTTATTTCAGTCTCTCTTCTTCTACTTGCCTAACAAAGGTCAGGAAGGGGATGCATGTACAGACTGTACTGGACCACTTGTTGTACAATGTACACAAGCAGAGGATCCCGAACAGAGGTACAATATATTCACAATATAATTCCTTTTGATCGATAGAGAAAAAACAAAGGAACTGAGACTTTGCCACAAACTAAAATTTTATAATCGCTATATCATTGCAACCTAATGGTGTAAACCTTTCAAATTTCAAACTTAAATATTTTTTTATCGAACAGAATTTATTGTTTGAGATAAATATAGTGTACACCATCATGGGTTGCAAAGATAAAGGTATTATAAAATCAGAGTTTTTGGCAAAGACTCAATTCCTTTGTGGAAGGAACTCAAATCGTCTAATCCTAAAAGCTTTGCATTGCGACCTCGACCTCAGGATGTAAAGCTGTAAATGTGATAATTGATCGAAACGATGATTCATAGTTTGAACTATCAGTGTGTCCGACATTAAATAAAAGGAAAAAGATCCTAGTATTTAAGAATTGTGAGTATGATGAGAGTACTCAGTTTCTTTCAATATACGATAGAAAAACTGGTCAAGAAAGAAACCTAAAAATATGACTCTGAACTCAAAAGATTATGATTTAAATTTATGCGGAAATGTTGAAACCAAAAAGGTTGTCAATCTTGACAATTCATTTGGTTGAAACGACTTAGTGACGTGGCAATTCGGCTGAATTCCTAATATCGCTTTATTCTTTACATATGATGTCAAAGACCTTTCATTTTTTTATTAAAAAAATTCTTCTGAATAATATAACCATAATTTGAAATATCAAACATATTCTAAATTAGATTGGAAAAATGCCTGGGTAAGAGAAAGAGTTTGAGTGCTTAGTTTTATTTCTTTACTAGATGTAAACACTTTCTTTCAATTCAATCAAAATGTAAAAATGATTTTACAGAATCTTGTCTGTTTTAATCTAAACAAATGTCAAAATGAAAATAAAAAATTAATCTGTTTTAATCAAAAATTAAATTTCAAATTAATTCTACAGAATGTTTTCTGTTTCAATCTAATCAAATGTCAAATCGAGTCTAAAGATCTGTTTTAATCTAATAAAATGTCAAATCGAGTCTAAAGATCTGTTTCAATCTAATAAAATGTCAAATCGAGTCTAAAGATCAGTTTCAATCTAATAAAATGTCAAATCGAGTCTAAAGATCTGTTTCAATCTAATAAAATGTCAAATCAAGTCTAAAGATCTGTTTTAATCTAATCAAATGTCAAATCGAGTCTAAAGAATAATTTCTTTTTTAATCTAATCAAATGTCAAAATAATTTTAAAAAATTCAATCTATTTTTATCTAATCAATTGTAAAAAATAATTATAAGAATCTAATCCGTTTTAATCTAATCAAATGGCAAGTTGATTCTACAGAATATAAACTATTTTAATCTATGTAATAAAATGTAAAAATGATTTACAGAGTATTATCTGTTTTTGTTAATCAAATGTCAAATTGATTTAAAGAATTATTTTATTTTAATAGAATCAAATGTCAAAATGATTAAAAAGAAACTAACCTGTTTTATTATAATAAAATCATTTTGATAAAATGTCAAAATGATTTACAGAATCTTTTTTTAGTTTTGATGGAGAAGAAATCTTAACAGTTCCAAAGTGCAATCTAGTTCCAAACTCTACAATTCAGTAGTTGACAAGGTTTAGGGATATAGTTCCTCGCTAACAAATCATATTGTTTTAACTTTTTACTATATTTTTAATTGACTGTTAAAAAAAACTTTTTTAAAAATATATTCATGACATTTTTCAATATTTTTTCATTTAAAATGTCGATAAAAGTATAAAAGAGAGAAGAAAAAAATGATGCTTTGTTGGTCACAAGTAAACTAATCACAATGAAGTGCATTTTGTCTGTATCGGAATATCATGTCGTTTTTTTTATCTCTCATTCGAAATAGCGTAAGATACCTTAGATACTTAAGGGTTTAATACACAAAGCCCAATAAAAAAGTATAAAATAGCAAATACGAATGTCTACATTTATCGGATAACAATGGGGTCTAAGACTTACTATTATTTTAAGCAGGACTTAATTCAAAGTCACAGCTGGTAGGAAAAATCTGTTTGATATATCTAAATATATTGCGTTCAAGTACATTAGACAGAATCGACATAAGGTGGAAATTATAAAAAATCATTCTTTATTAATCTATGTCGTCGTCCAAATATTTTTTCATCTAAATGTCGTCAGTTTCAGAACGTAAAAAATGGCCATTAATGTGAAAAAATGTCAGTTGCAAACATTAAAAGTAATCAGCCTGATAAAGAGTTATCTATCCCTTTTAAGAGTAATCTTTCCGTATTAAGAATAATCTACTGGCATATTAAAAATCCGATTAATTGAGTAATCTACTCACATATTAAGAGTAATCTACCCATATTATGAGTATCTACCCGTATGAAGAGTAGTCTACCATAATAAGATTAAACTACCCATATTTATTGTAATCAGCATGTATTTAAATGAATCTACCTGCCAATTTATTGAATATACCATGTATTTAGAAGAATCTACCTGTAATCTACTCGTATTAAAAGTTATCTACTTTTATTATAAGTAATCTACCAAAATTTAGAGTAGTCAGCACATATGGAATATACCCATATAAAGAGGAATTTACCCGTATTAAGTGTATTCTACCTACCTGTATTAAGAGTATTCTACTTGTATTAAGTGTAATCTACCCGTATTTAGTGTAATATATCCATATTAAGATTAATCTACCCGTATTAAGAGTAATTTACTCGTATTAAGAGTAATCTACGCTTGTTAAGAATAATCTACTCGAATTAAGAGTAACTAACATGTATTTAAAGGAATCTTCCCAAATTAAGAGGAATCTATTCGTATTAAGAGTAATCTACTCTTAATAAGAATAATCTACTCGAATTAAGAGTAACTAGCATGTATTTAAAGGAATCTACCTGTAGTAAGAGGAATCTGTTTATATTAAAAGGAATCTATCCGTATTAAGAGGAATCTACCCGTAATCAAACCGTATTTAGTGTAATCTACCTGTCTTAAGAGTAAACTTCCCGTAATAAAATAAGAGGAATCTATCCTATTTACTCCCAACCAATGACTATTTTCTTTTATCAAACAAGCCTAACAGAAAAATACACTTTATTAAAAATTTTACATTTTTTATATGTTCTGTTAGTATTTTTACTAGAGAAAGTAAAAGAAATTTGTTAAATGAAATTTTGTGAATTCAACTCAATTCTGTGAACTAAAACAGGAAAATAAGGTTACAGAATTGTAATAATATTTTTTTTGTGGTGTGCCTCCCCCTGTATACGACCTTTTGGGTATAAATGAAATATTCTAGAGTTAATTAAGATGACGCTTAAGAAAGAATTCTTACAATAAATACATCTTTTCTTTTATCAAAGAATATTAAACATTTATTATAGGATTTTTGATTACTAATTGTTTGATTACCATCATTATCTTGGATAGGATAATTGCGTAGTATAGAAAATAAACTTATTCATTCTTCTTTTACTTCTGTTCTTATCTTACAGGTGTTAACCAGAAAACAATGAAATAGGAAGACGACATTATAGCAATAGGAAGACGACATTATAGCAATAGGAAGACGACATTATAGCAATAAATAAGTGTATTTGATGTTGTTACAAGCAAATAGTTTTACTAGACGTTTATCAAATCACTACTTAGGTAAAATATGTCTGTTTACACTGCACAATTGCTGTATCTCATGCTCATTAGACCTTTAAAGTTATAACTTGAGTCTAAAAGCCATCTCCCTGTTCCAGAGATTTTTGGCTCTCACTGTATACAAATTACGGGCCTCAGCAAAGTAATTGCAAAAAACTTTTTAAAAAACAATTTTTGCACATTTTGTGTTTATCTCATAAACAAGAAGCAGTTAAAACAATCAGGATTACAAATTTTGTGATAACTGACATAAACCAAGAGAAAGTATAAAACTGGTTCGAAATAAATAAAGAACTTGCTTTGCAATATTTGGATTTTTTTGGAAGTTTTAAATCCATCAATAAAAATAGGAGAATCTGCGAAATCTTGTATTTTTTAAAAAATACATAAAGAAAGGCCTGCAAAAAGTCACTCCTGCATGCCGAGTCCATTAGCACCTGATTCAATCAGGGTTCAGTCATGTGTTTGGTGTCTTTTCTGAACCAAAAGAAATAGTATGGCGGTAACGGTACCAGTACAAACGTCGGACCATACAATATTGTCATGGGTATAGTAGAACTATGGGTAAAATATGTCCCTGTGTACAGTAAAACTATAGGTACAATATGTCCATGGGTACGATGGAACTTTAAATATTTTAAATTTAAGCCAATTGAAATATTCTAAAACTGAAAGGGACTGTAAGCGTAATGTTACTTGACCTCTCATGTGAAGATGGCAATGCCCAATTTATAATTGTACCTTTAATGCCATCTGATAAATGTGAAAGATAAAAGGTCGTTTATCTAGGTTTAAAAGTGTCAAATTCTATAATTTCCTATATGTTTTCCTGCAGCAGTAAGTACATTTTTATAGAGAATCCGCAATTAAAAAATACTTGCGCAAGTCACTAACCGCTGCGAACCGGATTATTTTAATGGAGAGTCAGGCTAACCATTGCAAACAGGACTATTTTAATGGAGAGTCAGGCTAATCGTTGCAAACCGGACTATTTAATGGTGAGTCAGGCTTACCGTTGCGAACCGGACATTTTAATGGAGAGTCAGGCTAACCGCTGCGAACCTGACCATTTCAATGGAGAGTCAGGCTAACCGCTGCGAACCAGACTATTTTATTGGAGAGTCAGGCTAACCCTGCGAACCGGACTATGTTAATGGAGAGTCATTCAAAATAAGGTTTTAGATTCCCTCTATATGAAAAAAAACGTTTAAAAGATGGGATTATCCAATAATATTAAATCATTTTTCATCAAATTTAGTTTTAAATTATTCAATATTTGGACTTTCTTACGCATAGAGATCGTAGTGTAACAAATATAATTTTTATGGTTTATAAGGATTTCATATCATAATATACAATTTACAACATTTACATAATCTATAGAACAATACTATAAACATACATCAAAATCTAGTTGTATTGGGGTAGATAGGAAGGGGGGGGGGAGGGTAAAACTTTGAAACTAAGGCAGAAGAATAAATGTGTTATTTTAGAAGTGGATGGAAAATAATTACTTGAATTGTTTTTTCTTCTTGTAAGCAATTAATAATTGTTTTAATCAAGTTTTTAAACTGGCCAAAATTAAAATTTAAAAACCTATTTCCTGAAAATATTTACAATTCATAGCATTAGACCGAGACAACAACAAAAAGATTTAAATGGATACTAAGAAATTATTTCGTTTTGAATAAATCCGAGAAGACATTTATTAAATATATATTTATATTTACCCGTAAATACCGGAATCTATAAGATTTGTGCGGTTTCAGTGTTTTTTTTTTTGAACTAAAATATAATTTTCATTGATCAATCAGCGCTTTTAAAATTAATTTTGAGATTCTTGGTTTTGAAGATATTGAGAATACAAAGATTGGTCTGCTTGATCAACACCCACAGATGTGGAATGAGAATGATTTCCAAGGTACTAATGCAAGGAAAGTTAATTGCGGTCGCGTATACTCTGCGTACATATTGAGACCAATTCTCTCTGGGCGCAAATAGAATAGATGCATTCCTTCAGTATCCAAGGAGGTTAAAAACATTTAATTTTGATAATTTTGGAAATTCACATAATAGTTTTCTGTGACCAGATTATTTCATAAATTATTTTTGTGAAAATGGATTACATGTCAGGCTGTGACATCCGTCTTGTGTTTACTTTTTTCCGCCCAAAGATAGTACACTGCAGTATAAAAAAATTCGCACACCTCTAAAATAATTTTCCTTGCATTAGTACCTTGGATTATAAAATCAATCATAAAGAACAATCCTCCGAAAAAATTATTTTTAACACAACAAATGTATGGGATTTCAAGGAAAAACATAAAGATTTAATTTATAAGAAATGTTTAAGTTTCAAATTTTAATTGAAAAATATTCTAATGAATTTTTTAAAGTCCATTTACCTCCAAGAGAACATGTTAAATAAAACGAAAAATTGGTTATACCGCTGAATTTAGATTTGTTTGGCTTGTTAAAACTTATAACTTATAACTAGTCTCTATAATATGTACATTTTGGCATTTACTAGTTTACTATACGTACATGAATGTGCAATTTTCATACAAATGTACATTGCACATGTGTATAATTTGTGTATCTAAATACTAAAAATACATTTATTTTGAATTAAAATGTACATACACCTGTTTGAATGTACTAAAATGAGCACTAACATGTATTTGAAATGCATGTACATTGTACAACGTAAGTTTTGTAATGTACATGTACATAAAATGCTGGCGTTCTGTGTAGCCTTATAGAGTACAGAAATACCACGAACTAACAAGGAATAGTTCTTCTATAAACTCTCTCTAACCTAGAACCACTGTTTTAGATCTATGATAATGTTTATCATTAAGATCTCTAGGCGGAAGAGATAATCTTTGATCATGAACATCTCTAAGCAGCAGAGATCATGATTATCATTAAGATCTCTAGGCAACAGAGATCATGTTTATCAAGAAAATCTCCAGGCAGCAGAGATCATGATTATTATGAAGATCTCTAGGCGGCAGAGATAATGTTTCTCATTAATATCTCTAGGCGGAGGAGATAATGTTTATCATGAAGATCTCTAGGTGGCAGAGATAATGCTTCTCATTAAGATCTCTAGGCGGCAGAGATAATGTATATCATGAAGATCTCTAGGCGGCAGAGATAATGTCTCTAGGCGGCAGAGATAATGTATATCATGAAGATCTCTAGGCGGCAGAGATAATGCTTATCATGAAGATCTCTAGGCGGCAGAGATAACGCTTATCATGAAGATCTCTAGGCGGCAAAGATAATGCTTATCATGAACATTACTAGGTGTAGAGATCATGTTTATCATTAAGATCTCTATGCGGCAGAGATAATGTTTATCATAAAAATCTCTAGGCGGCAAAGATAAAGCTTATCATGAAGATCTCTAGGCGGCAGAGATAATGCTTATTATGAAGATCTCTAGGCGGCAGAGATAATGCTTATCATGAACATCTCTAGGCTGCAGAGATAATGTTTATCATTAAGATCTCTAGGCGGCAGAGATAATGTATATCATGAAGATCTCTAGTCGGCAAAGATAATGTTTATCATCAAGATCTCTAGGCGGCAGAGATAATGCTTATCATGAACATCTCTATGCAACAGAGATTATGTTTATCACCAAGATCTCTAGGCGGCAGAGACAATGTTTATCGTTAAAATCTCTAGGCGGCAGAGACAATACTTATCAAGAAAATCTCTAGGCGGCTGAGATAATGTTTATCATTAAAATCTCTAGGGGGCAGAGACAATACTTATCATGAAAGTCTCTAGGTGCCATAGATATTTCTTGTCATGAAGATCTCTAGGCGGCAGAGTTAATGCTTATCATTAACATCTCTAAGCGGCAGAGATAATGTTTACCATGAAGATCTCTAGGCGGCAGAGATATTGCTTATCATAAAGATCTCTAGGCGGCAGAGATAATGTTCATCATGAAGATCTCTAGGCGGCAGAGATAATGCTTCATGAAGATCTCTAGGCGGAAGTGTTAATGGTTATCATGAACATCTCTAGGCAACAGAGATAATGCTTATCATGAAGATCTCTAAGCGGCAAAGATAATGCTTATCATTAAGATCTAAAGGCGGCAGAGATAATGCTTATCATGAAGATCTCTAGGCTGCAGAGATCATGTTTATCATCAAGATCTCTAGGCGGCAGAGATTATGTATATCATGAAGATCTCTAGGCGGCAGAGATTATGTATATCATGAAGATCTCTAGGCGGCAGAGATTATGCTTATCATGAAAGTCTCTAGGCGCCAGAGATAATGCTTCATGAAGATCTCTAGGCAGCAAAGATACATGCTTATCATGAAGATTTCTAGGCGGCAGAGATAATGCTTATCATGAAGATCTCTTGGCTGAATAGATAATGTTTATCACGAAGATTGAGAGAATGAAGAGAAATTTTCTAAAAAAAATAAATTATTATTGTTTCAAGATTAAAAAACTAAATGCAGAGTTTCAAAGCTATATTTAAAACAATAATTGAAATGTTTTCATAATTTTATAAAAATCAATTTCAAATGGAAATAAATTTGTTAAATCATCATTTAATGAAAAGACAAAAAAGTAAAGATGTCCCTATACAAAATAGCAAATAAAATATTATTCCATCTATAATAAATTGTATTCTTTAATTAAGGATATAACTATAATAAGATGCACCAGATCTTAAGTTTAAATGAAAAATTTGAGAACATTTTTTTTTATTTTTCAAACTTATTCCGATTTAAAAAAAACAGTTCAAAAAGCACGAAGGAAAAAAATGTAAAAAATATTTTGAGTTTTGGCTTTTGTAAAATAATAAGAAAAAACAGCTTCTTATAATTATGCAAAAAAATAAAACCAGAAGAGCTAATATTCACAAAGTAGAACCAGTAATTTCGCGAAAAGTTTACCTTCTCCCTCTGTTTAGTTTGCAAAGGTTACAGCATATTCAGGGTCTGTAAACAATATTTTCAATACTCATTTTATTTGAAACCATGAGCTTTAAAGAAATTATGTTTATGAAAAATCTAATTTATTAAAATTTTCAAATATAAACTCACCTTTAATCAAGGAGATCGCCGTTAAGCTGAAAATCCTTCAGAGAGGTACTTGATAATATTACCTAAACAAGATAATATAAACTTGATAATATTACCTAAACAAGATAATATAAACAAGATAATATTACCTAAACAAGATAATATAAACAGGATAATATAAACTAGATAATATTACCTAAACAAGATAATATAAACTAGATAATATTACCTAAAGAAGATAATATAAACTTGTTTAGATAATATTATCTAAACAAAATAATATTATCTGAATAAGATAGTATTATTTTTTTTGAAAAGTTGCATACATTTAAAGACTGGATTAACTTTGAAGTGTCGTAATGGGCCTTTGATTTAATCCCTTTATCTCAATCATAATTTTTTTTGGCTTAGTCACAGAGCAATTGTTTTTAAAGTCTTATTTTGTAAAGAAAATATCAGAAAAATGGTAATTGATATTTGAGTGAAAGCTTGGAACCTTATACAGGGTGTCCCAATAAACATGGGAATTTAGTGACGAATTCGATATCGTCTTTTTAAATAATTCTTTGATTTAGTATAGTGAAACCTAATGAGAAAGCTGTAATCTGTAAGAGTTTCGTCTGCTATGTTCACATTTTGTTTGTTTATGTTTTGACTGCAACCGGTTGCACTTCGTAAAACAAGAAAATTTCTGTATATACAAAAAGAGTAAACTTGTCCGTCTTCACTGTTCAACTTGCGGAGACATTATAGACACATCTTTTACCCTTTTCATAAAATAAACTCTAGCTTTTGAAATTAGGTATTACAATGCTAATACATAACAAAGAAGATATCCAATTCGTCACTAAATTCCCATGTTTTTTGGGACACCCTGTAGGACCACTTTGTTTATTAATTGATAGAACTTACTGATTAGTATTGAGTAGATAGTTTCCATCTGTGGTGTATATCTATCCTCTAGAATACTCCGTATTGAATCCAGAAATGCTCCCTCCAACATCTAGACACAATATTTTAAATGTTTTAAAGTACAAGAGATAATACGGACGACGGAGACGTAATTTCAAATTATCCCCCCTTAATTTAAGTAAATGCTTCCTCTAATTGGAATTTATTTCCGGTTTAAATCTATACCCTTAGACGCCTTTATTGAGGGGAAAACGGTATTCGTGTGTTTTCTTTTTTCAATTTCTGTTTGAAAAATGAAGACATCTTTAACATCATTGTTTAGATAAAGTTCATAGGGTACTGTTGTGAACCGGTTTCAATTTTAAGTTTAAATTTCAAAATTACAAAACCCTTAAAGGTAAAAAATAAACTTTTTATAGGATTAAATTGTTAAGTCCCCAGCGGGAAACAAATATACAAGTCTATTTTAAGGGCAGTTTAAATTGCACCCCGCGACCGACTGGTTTCCCGACGCTGTTGCTTTGAATTAAAACAATGTTTCCTTAAAGGTGAATACGGTTACAAAGGGGTATACAATATGATATGAATACTGTTTTGTCTATCATTATACAGATTCAAACAATGTATTTACAAATTTCCTTTAACAGAAAACACAATCATGTCACTAGAAGGAGATACTTACGTACTGTCCCGATTTGCGGTATTTAGTTTTAAAACCGGAGTTTAAAGTCAACAAGCTTACCAAAATGAACTTGATACATAGTTTAGTTACTTTTCTGAAATGCCCCATCTGCTTCATTCCATTCGCATTTTTTAAGCATACTTAAAAAAACTGCGTGAGCCTATTCCAATTTATTACGTACTGTACTTTTATGTTTGAGAATTAGTCGAAATAAAGAGACTTTAAACGTAAATTAAGGTGATCTCTTATTTCAAAAGTAAACGGTACCCTTTAAATCTTTATCTGAGTAACGATAAGGAAGATATTGTCTTTATTCTATAACTATAAAAGTGTGAACTTTTAAAATTGACTTCTATGTCAATTCGGTAATCTGATTGTTTTACAGAGAGCACATATTTGATTTACGAAACAAAACCAAGAATATTTTTTTTTACTAAAATTTAAAGGACAAGGTTCAAATCGAAATCTGCTTAAACATATTGTCCTTTCAAATTTCTTCAATGATCCTTCTAACTATTCGATTAAATTAGTTAAATATTAAATCATTACCTGTAAATATTGAGGGGAAAATCCCTGTATTGATTTCAGCGATTTTCCGATGTCTGTGAATGACTTTTCTAATTTCTTCGGATCTTCCTAAATTATTACAGAATCATGATACAAATTTTCGGAATCACAATAGAAATGTTCGGAATCACGATACAAATTTTCGGAATCACAATAGAAATTTTCGGAATCACGATACAAATTTTCGGAATCACAATAGAAATTTTCGGAATCACAATAAAATTTTCGAAATCACAATACAAATTTTCGGAAGCACGATACAAATTTTCGGAATCACGATAGAAATTTTAGGAATCACGATACAAATTTTCGGAATCATGATACAAATTTTCGGATTCATGATACAAATTTTGTGAATAATGATACAAATTTCCGGAATCATGATACAAATTTTCGGAATAATGATACGAAACCGGAATCACGATACAAATTTCCGGATTCATGATACAAATTTTGTGAATAATGATACAAATTTCTGGAATAATGGCACAAATTTCCAGAATCATGATACAAATTTTCGGAATCATGTTACAATTTTCCAGAATCAAGATACAAATTTCCGGAATAATGATACAAATTTCTGGAATAATGATACAATTTAATATTCATTTTAAAGACGACATATCTTTTAATCAAAGACGACATACCTGAATATCTGCCATTGCTTCGTCTAGCCTGTCCATTGCTCTTTCAACCTCTTCCTAAAATAATGCCGTTTGTAACAGCAATTTAAAGGAACTGTCGACATACAGTGTTATACAGGCAATTATATAAACACAATAAAGACAACTTTCAATTTCAATTTTGATGTTTATCAGGCTTTTATACAGGATGTCCTAAAAAACATGGAAATTCAGTGACAAATTCGATATCGTCTTTGTTATGAATTAGAATTGTAATACCTTATTTCAAAACCCGTAATATTATTATGTCTGCTAGAATTTCTCAGTAGGTATTACTATACTAAATCAAAGAATTATTTAAAAAGACGATATTGAATTCGTCACTGAATTCCCATGGTTATTGGGACACCCTGTACAGTATATACACATAAGCATGCAACCATAAAGAAGCTGTGGAAAAAAGCTTCTCTTTGATTACTTGTAAACTTTTAATTTAAAAAAACCTTGTAAACAATCAAAAACTCAATAAAAAGTCGTCTTCATTATACTGGTATAATCGCCATTAATACCGATATCCACCATTCAAAAGTGCCCAGCTCAGATTTTTTACATTTGCAAAAAAACATTCCAAAATGAGTTTCGGTCACTGAAATATACTATCATTTTTAATGTATGTTTTGTGTATTTTGAAGGAATTACTACTCAGTATCATGCTAGATAAAATTTTAAAAAGATGTAATTTTTTAATATTACTAACGTTGACATCAAAGAGATTAGTTGGAGGACTATTTTTGTATTTCATCATTTTTTTAGTTTTTAAATGTAAAATATTTTCATATCACAATAATAGATTAGTTTTTTTTTATTAATATTTGACCTGAAACGCTTCATCATTATTTCGGTCTCTTTCTGTGTTGAGGTGTTCATATTTTGGGAATAGGTTTAGCAGACTTGGATTTTCTGCTAGTAATCTAAATAGTATTATTATTATTTCTGTTATCATTTTGATATAATCTCTTTTCTTAACAAAGCTTATTTTCATCCTTCTTACATTTGTTCTATGTATTGATAATTTTCTTATTATTAACATCATTAACATTATTATAATCATTTAATATGATATTCTAATTTTACATTAAAATTAGTCTCATTATGCATTATAATATTATTATAGTTATTTTTGGTATTTATATTATACTAAAATTATTACTTGTTAAGAATAAGATTTCCAGTTTTCTTCAGTTCCCTGTTAATTCCCCTCCATGAGCTTCTGAGAAGATATCTGAAGAAAAAATTCAAAAATTTCGTGAAAAACATCCTTTTTGTTAAAAAATTTCAAAAACTGAAAAAATGAATAATACCTGAAGAATCGTCTAGCTACCAAACGAAATAAGGTTTTTTCTTTTAAATTAAAAAAAGAGAAAGCATAACTGTTAAGTTTTAATTTGAAAAAAATAAACATTTTGAAAAATGACATTTTACCATTTAGCTAAAGTAAATTTATTTTTTATTTCTTCTGAAAACTATTTCTTAGAAAAGCGTTAAATTCCTAATTTAAAAGCTTACAATTCAGCCAGGAGGAATGATAGTTTTCTACCTGTGTGCTCAGTTAGCTGTACTTTACACTTACAACTGTTTACTAATATAGAATCAACTTATTATAAACAAATATGCAGTACGCTCTCGGTATGTATATGGCCTTTGAAATTGGTGAAGGATTAGGGTACATCATCACTCTATACACTATAACCTCGTTGAATTCAGCATGTCTTGGGTGTACAAACAAAATGACAGGAGTTACGAGGACACAAAGCGTGACAGTAAATCAAAAAAAAACTTTAAAAATTTGTTGCAGAACTTGATTTCACCTTTGACGTTTTTTGAGACCAAATATTGGAATATCCTCCTCCGCTTCTTCGGGTTCAGGAGCCTTGATTATTAAATTTATTATAAAACAAGAAATATGTAGGCTAAAAAACTTTTTTTCAACATTTTTATTCATTTTGTTTAAAAATTTGTTTGCAATTTTTTCTCAAATATTTTTTTCACATTAATTAAAATTCTGCCTACAGTTCCTTTAAATCATAAACTTTAAAGTTAAATTACCTTTTGTGGACACAAACTGCAGCCCATCACAGATACATCAGCCTCTCTCCAGACAATTTTCTAAATATGAAAATATGTTTAAATATAATATTTACTTTGTTTACTCGTGCAGTAAAATATAATCTTTACTCTGTTTACTCGTGAAAAAAAATCTAATCTAATATTTACTCTGTTTACTCGTGAAGTAAAATCTAATATTTACTCTGTTTACTCGTGAAGTAAAATCTAATATTTACTCTGGTTACTCGTGAAGTAAAATATAATATACTAGCCTTAGAGAGCGCTTCGCGCCCATCTTCTAAATTAATCGTGAACATGTTCTCTTTGTGTACATCGTAAAACAAAACAAAAATAATTCGCAGATTTTCACAAAAATTTCGTGGATTTTCAAAATTTTCAAAAATTTAATCAAGATCGAATTTTGAAGGAGACAAATATTTGAAATTTTTATCGTTTATAAACCTTCCCTGTTGTCACGGGATGTCCCACAAAAAATTTGGGCCCGATCGGTTCAGCCGTTCTGACGTTTATTGGATACAATCAAACAAATAGACAACCAGACAGACAAGCCAAATTTATATACAGATACTCTGGTTACTCGTGAAGTAAAATATAATATTTACTCTGTTTACTCGTGAAGTAAAATCTAATATTTACTCATGAAGTAAAATCTAATATTTACTCTGTTTACTCGTGAAGTAAAATCTAATATTTACTCTGTTTACTCATGAAGTAAAATCTAATATTTACTCTGTTTACTCGTGAAGTAAAATCTAATATTTACTCTGGTTACTTGTGATGCAAAATCTAATATTTACTCTGGTTACTCGTGAAGTAGAATCTAATATTTATTCTGTTTACTCATGCAGTAAAATATAATATTTACTCTGTTTACTTGTGAAGTAAAATCTAATATTTACTCTGGTTACTCCGTACTCGTGAAGTAAAGTCTAGTGTTCTAGAGAGGACGGTTTGTCTTGTCAGCACTCAGCATAAACTGAACACACCTCCACTTTTCATCATGAAGACATATCTCAGCATATACTGAACACACCTCCACTTTTCATCATGAACACATATCTCAGCATACACTGAACACACCTCCACTTTTCATCATGAACACATATCTCAGCATAAACTGAACACACCTCTACTTTTCATCATGAACACATATCTCAGGCTCTCAGCATATACTGAACACACCTCCACTTGTCATCATAAACACATAACTCAGCATACACTGAACACACCTCCACTTGTCATCATGAACACTCGTCTTATTCATCTTTTCATCTTTTGTTTTAATTCTTCTTTTTTTATATTTTTATAATTTTGCTTAATTTTGCTGCAGATGAATGAATAATTTTAATTATCTCAATGATAAAAGATTATGTTTAAAATAAAAATATTTGGCACCTTTGATAAAAATTCTCAAATCCATCCTTGCGCCAGTCATAAAATTTTCTTTGGCACAATTTTAAAAAGTATTGGGATTTTTTTTATAATTTTAAAACTCATTCAGATTTTTGCTTTTTTAGTGTAAACCAAATGATTAAAATCATTAAATGTAGGCCAGAGATGTTTTTGTCAAAATAATTGGTATCAAAATATCTGTCTTGAAACCGTTAAGTTTGAAAAATTCCTTTGAAAATAAATTAAATTAAAAGCAAAAAAACGTTTATTTGCGGAAAAATATTTGTCAGAATATAAAAAAATTAAGTTGTTTAGCCTTTCTAAACATGGAAGGTTTGTAACGGTTCAATACGTCATCTTTTGGTACATATGTTTTTTAACCCTATCCCTGCTGGGGTACTTGAAAACCAGGATATGCTGGGGGGGGTCAATTTCCCCCCCCCCTCTAAATCCCATGTTTTATGTCCAAATATGAAAAATGATACATCATTAGAAAGCTCTTGTGCTCTACTTTTAGAATCTACAAAAAATTTGCAAATTTGCAAAAATTGAAGTTTTACTCGCAAAATCCAGTTATATAATAAAAATGTTTGCAAAAGAAAATTTGTCCAAAAAATGAAAAATTATACATTTTTGAAAAGCCCTTGACCATGCCATTTCAAATATGCAAAAATTTTTGCAAAATTTTAAATAACCTGATTTTTAATCAAGAAAAACTAAAAATGCGCAAATTTCCTTTGACAGGTTGGTTGCAAAAAATTTACAATTTTTTTTCGCAATCGTTTTCTTATGTCATAGGCTTTCCAAAAAGCTAAATTTTATCAAAATCTGACAAGTGAAAGTGGGTCAAAACAAAGATTTAGTTTGTTACAGGCAAAAGCAGTCATTCAGGCAGTGTGCTTGAGGACTCAGGCAGTTAGTATTAAAGCCCGGTTTTAGGCCTAAAGGGAGGGCTTTGGGTATGTAAGAAAAGTCAGAAAATTTCAACAGCCTCAGACCAATACTTTTTGAGTTATGTAAAAAAAACTACAGGGGGGGGGGTCAAATTGACCCCCCCCCCCAAGCAGGAATAGGTTTAAAAAAATTGACCTTCTATTACAACTGCAGTTTTTTAAATTATTAATTGATTGCAAAATGAGTTTTGATTTTTTCAACTTTTGTGATTACAAATGTTGCTTCTTATTTGTTACTGTATGTTATTCTGGTGATTACAAATGTTGCTTCTTATTTGTTACTATATGCTATTTTGGTGATTACAAATATTGCTTTTTATTTGTTACTATATGTTATTTTGGTGATTACAAATATTGTTTCTTTATGTTACTATATGTTATTTTGGTTATTACAAATATTGCTTCTTATTTGTTACCTTATGTCATTTTGGTGGTGCACAAAGGATTTGACGTTTTAGATAAAATAGTTTCACCCTTATTTAAATCTTAATTTTGTCATGTTTCGTGTGACCGTCAATGAGTTTAATCATAACCACTTATAAATAGTTTTATTTTCAAATACTCACTTAAGCACGATATTCAAACCCTCGTAGCTAGTTGAGTATAGTTGAGAACTGAATCGGATATTTGAAGACCGGATTTAAGACAAGTTTAATGTTAAAAACTACTTTATGAAGATAGCATCTATAATTGCAACAAGAAAACAGTATTATAACGATTGTCGTCTTCAAACAGACATAAAAAATGTTTTTTTTTACGAAATTATTTTCTTTTTTATATTTATTTCTATTGTAAGCTAATATACAGGGGTACCTACACAGAATAAGATTTTAGTTACGATTGTACAAAATTTGTATTGTCCGTTTGTTCATATTAATGATTTTCTTCAACTGTAAACTTATTTTACTCCTTGTCAAATTATAAAATAACCCATTAAAATATTCAAGGCAGAATACCTAATCTAACCTTGGGATCTATAGTTTTAAAAAGTGTAATGTCGTCTTTACAGATTTATCCTTTGCGGGTTACCCTTACCCTGTATATCTTATATATATATATATATATATAAAGTACTAATCTCTGCTTATTTGTTTACATGACCGATCATAACTCAGGAACCCTTAACCGATTTGCCTCAAATTTGGTATGGAAAACTCTCTAGAACAATGGGAATGTTCTAAGCTAGGTTTAAAAGTTCTTAGTTGAATAGTTTGACTCTTATAAAGATAATGTTCCAGGCAAGGCTGGGTTCCCAAGGTAGTATTCCAGGCAAGGCTGGGTTTCCAAGGTAGTATTCCAGGCAAGGCTGGGTTCCCAAGGTAGTATTCCAGCCAAGGCTGCGTACCCTAGCCAGTATTCCAGGTAAGGCTGGGTTCCCAAGCTAGTATTCCAGGCAAGCTGGGTTCCCAAGCTAGTATGTAAATAAAGTAGTGATCTCAGTTGTCCGTCTGGGTGTTTGTTTGTCTGTCTTATCATAACTCAAGAACAAATTGATCGAGTTGTATTACAGCTGTTGGTAATAATTGGTAAGTTCAGTTGACTATAACTATATCTACGTAAACGAATTTATTTTAACGTCCGTAATTGAATCATACTATGACTATTCGTGTGCAGTCTGGCCAGAGTCCAGGCACGTTCCCTTTAAAAATCAAAACCGATCTTATATTGTCTCTTAGCTTTCTTGTTAAGCGGAATAATGCTCTGTTTTTATAACAATACAAAACAAAAGTTTCCTAGAACCGTATTTTACATTATATTTATGAATTATTAGAATCACTAATTAATTGTCTATTCTAAAAAAAAATTACCAAAAATTCTTTTTTATTACACTATTAGCTGAAGGGCCCGGCGTTGCCCGTGGAAAAAAATTGAAAAAAAAAAATTTGAATTACGCAACATAAATATATGCGAATGTCTTGTTTTATTATATATATTGAATTCCTAATATTTGCATGCAATACTGAACCAGGACTTTAAACCTATCACAAATGGGGGGGGGAGGGGGATTTCCACTCTCCCAGTGTTTTTTTTTCTAAATAACTTAAACACGGCTTATATTAGACCGCTCAAACCTATTAACTTTTTAAACCTCAAAGTACTGTGAACAAATTGTTTGCTTCTTTTTAATGCCATAGGGACAGGGTAGGGTGGGGGATTGTCAAACGGCGGGTCGGTGTTTAAAAAATCAGAATTGCTCTAAAATGCGAAAATTTTGCATTTTTTTGCGGAACAGATTGAAGCGAAATTTCGCATTTTTTCGTGAAACAGATTGAAGCGAAATTTCGTATCGTTTTCGAATTTTTTTCGCAAAAAAATGCGAAATTTCGCATAGAGTTTCAAAAATGTGAACAAAAATGTTTGCATTATTTGCGAAACGGTTCGTTCGCTGCAAACCCTAGTCACAGCCATAGAGAATAGAATATATATTAGAGTGGAATTTATGAATTTGTTCACTCCCTTTCAGCCTGAAAGGGAGTTGAAAGTGTACAAATCATATGTAAATGTTCACAAATTATATGCAGTAGAGTACATTAATACTGTATGTTCCCTTGACTATCCATTTCAATTTCGAATTTTTTAAAGCTGTTAGATAAACTTTATAAAATGAATTAGGTGAAAACAAACATCATTTGATTCATAGTTATAACGGAAAATCATCGTTTTTAAAGTGAAAGGCATAGAGTCTATGTAAAATGATCATTGGTCAATTATTAAACCAGCCTATTTCATAATTTGGTTTTCTTTTAATATTAATTTTAGATTTTTTATAAAATCATGGTCCAGGGCCCAAAAGGTTATATAGCGCAAATATGTGAAGTACACCTGCAGTATGGAAACAGTACAAAAAATGGCCGTTTTACACTTTTTTCTAGTTAATTCCACTCTAATATATATTCTATTCTCTTTGGAAACAACATTCATTGTAAAGGAATCAGCTAATTATACCGCACAGAGGGTGTAATATCTCTAACTGTTATTTGTCGTTAAATGTTATTTATATCTATTTTTAGTAGTGAAAATCTATATTTTTTAAACCTAATCGTTTTCAATTGTGGTTGTTCTTCAAATGACTTTTGGATTTTTACTGAAGGGAAAATACAGGAATTATCATAACTAAAGTACAATAGTTTTAACATTGTTGATCAGAATCAGTTATCAAGGGAACCATTGTACATCGTGCATTGCTATCTTTGCATAGTGCCGGTCACTTGAAATTACTCTTACAGCTTCTTTAAGCTTTTTTTATTTACCTTATGTCAGGCTTTGTTGGTACTCTTGGTGTTAAGTCTTAGTATTGATGTATGGCTCTAATCGTCCTCTTTTATCCCTGATGTATCTGATGCTTGATTTAGTTTCACCATTTTACATCTTCAAATATAAATTATTAAATTATCAAACTCATTTCTTTAACTTTTGATTTGGGTTTTGTAGAACGTAATTTTATAAAAAAATATTTAAAACTGTTTCTAGAAAGATACTGAATTTTTGCCACAAACTCAAATTTTCTAATCCATTTATCTCTGCGGCCGGAAGGTGTAACCCTTTAATATTTCAAACTTTTATTATTTGATTTAACAAAATTCATAGTTTTAAATATCTAAGGTCTATGACATATAGGGATTAGAAAATCAGAGTTTGTGGCAAAGACTTAAATCTTTTCTTGTTCCCTGAACATCTTTTTAAATAAACAGGGAGAGTAAAAAAAACAGGATGTGGCACAAAATTTTACAAATTTTAATTTGTTTTAAAACTTCTCTAATCCCCATGGTTTATTACTCCCTCTGTATATCATGCAGCCAGATAAAATTCAAAAATAAAATACGTAATCGATAGCAAAAAACTTTTTCGTTGTGCATCTACATAACTTTAGAACTGTATATCTGTATATCTTTATATCTGTAAAACTGTTTATCTGTATATCTGTATATCTGTATATCTGTATATCTGTATATCTTTATATCTGTATATCTGTTTATCTGTATATCTGAATATCTGTATATCTGTATATCTGTATATCTGTATATATGTATATCCATAAATCTGTATATCTGTATATCTGTATATTTGCATATCTGTGTATCTGTATATCTGTATATCTGTATATCCGTATATATATAGCTCTGTATATATATATATATATATATATATATATCTGTATATCTGTATATCTCTATATCTGTATATCTTTAAATCTACATATCTGTTTATCTGTATATCTGTATATCCGTACATCTGTATATCTGTTTATCTGTATATCTGTATATCTGTATTTCTGTATATTTGCATATCTGTGTATTTGCATATCTGTATATCTGTATATCTGTATATATCTAGCTCTGTAAAAATGCATATCTGTATATCTGTATATCTGTATATCTGTATATCTGTATATCTGTATATCTGTATATCTGTTTATCTGTTTATATGTGTATATCTGTACAATTGTATATCTGTATATCTGTATATCTGTATATATCTATCTCTGTATATCTGTATATCTGTATATCTGTATATCTGTAAATCTAGCTGCATAACTATGGCTGGACTAGATTGAAGCTCTCAGCTGAGATACGAGGCCCTCAGCCTCTCTCCATCCTCTCTCTCTCTATCTCTCTCTATCTCGCTCTCTCTCTCTCTCACACAGAGATTTTCTCTCTCTCTCTCTTTCAGACTCTCTCTCTTACTCACGTACACACTCAAACATAATGATAAATAGTATAGTTCAGTTCACTTTTCAATATTAATTTTATCAAGGTCCTATTTTAATATTGCAAGACAGATTCCTTAATATTTGTAGATTTCAATTATTACACCAGTAGATTCCTTATTATATATTTGAAGATTTATCTGATTTCATTGGTAGGTTCTTCTTAATATTGGTAGATGTATCTTATCACATTGGTAGTTTCCTCTTATTATTGGTAGATGTATCTTATCACATTGGTAGTTTCCTCTTAATATTGGTAGATTTATCTTATCACATTGTTAGTTTCTTCCTATTATTGGTAGATGTATCTTATCACATTGGTAGTTTCCTCTTAATATTGATAGATTTATCTTATCAAATTGGTAGTTTCCTGTTGATATTGGTAGATTTTTCTTCTTTCACTGGTAGTTTCCGCTTAATATAGGAAGATTTATCTTATAACATTGGTAGTTTCCTCTTAATATTGGTAGATTTATCTTATATCATTGATATTTTCCTCTTAATAATGGTAGATTTATCTTATTACACTGGTAGTTTACTCTTAATATTGGTAGATTTGTCTTATTACATTGGTAGTTTCCTCTTAATATTGGTAGATTTCTCTTATTTTACTTGTAGATTCCTCTTAATATTGGTAGATATCTCTTATTACGCTGGTATACCTCTTTATATTTGTAGATTTATCTTATTTCACTGGTAGTTTCCTCTTAATATTGGTAGGTTCCTCCTCATATTGGTAGATTTCTATTAATATTGCTAGATTTTTCTAAATATTGGTAGATTGCATTTTTATACTACCTGGTGGATTTCTAATAAAAGTATTAAATTTCTTAATATTACTATTCTCTTGACCTTATTAATTTGGAAGGAGGAGGTTAAAAAACTTTAAAAAATGGTCTGAGACCGATAAATTTTTTTTTCTTTTCTAACCACTTAAAACTGGGCTTTCAATTATTCCCCATGGCATACTGCAATTTTTACCTTTACTAAACTATATCTATATTTTGACCTACTTCCAGTCATTCGATTTCAACCATAGTTATCTCTTTGGAACGCCAATGGCAACAGAAAGAAGATCGCACAATTTTTGCACAGAAACATGTTAAGGGGATTTGCATATTTTCTGTTTTCCTAAAATACACACTTAGGGTTTGAAAATCTTACAAATACTTTTGCACATATAAAGTTGCCGGGTAAAGAGCTTTTTAGAAGTATATAATTTATTATATTTCGCATCATTTTGTATTATTCACTTTTTTTGCTAAATAACTAATATACAGGGTGTCCCACGAAACATGACAATAGGAAGACGACTTGAAAGTCGTCTTTGGTATTTGAATTTATTTGTGACATTTAGTCTTCTATCTACTTTAACATGTATGATTCTTGAAACAATTATCACATAATTCTCCTAGCCCTGGCATTTCCAAAAAGTGGTCTGCGTTTTTTGTGCTTTCAATATTACCGGAGATATAAAGAGTTTGGTTCAGTTTTTAATTTTGTTAAATAAAAGCAAAATTGTCGAAATCTGAACGAAATTCTTCATACCTCGGGCAATATTGAAAGCACAAAAAAGGCAGACCACATTTTGGAAATGGCAGGACAAGGGAAATTTTGTGATTATTATCTCTAGAAATTTACTTCTAAAATTAGGTTGACAAATAAGCGCAGCAAATTATATCAAAAATCAAGACGACATTCAAGTCGTCCTGCATACTGTCATGTTTCGTGGGACACCCTGTAGCTAAAAAAGTGCAAACACATTTTGATTTATGTAGATTATTGAAGTATTTAAATTCCAAAGGCTTTTCCAAAATGAGGAAATGTTAAAATTTAATATGATTAAATGGTCGCAAGATAATTGTCAAAAGCTATTTTTTTTTCGACCTACATTTCTATGACTATACAAATATAGATTTATACATTTCCAACATTTTAGTGATAAGAGAAAAGTCTACTTAGAGAGAGACATGATAAATACTTAATATTGCATTTTTAACCATCTTCAGTCTTCCAATGAAAACATAAAAATCTGAAAAATCTTAAATTGTTCATTTATTTAAAACGAAACAATAAAAATTAAAGACGCTGCGGCTAAAGTATCCTAAAAGTATAAAATTGGAAATTTTTATTATTATTAGGATTTTATTTCACACACAATTATCTATGAATGTAAAATGGTGTACTCATAAAATTTATGATGTATTAATTTTAAAAGTATTAAGCTATGTAATAAAGATTTTCACTCATTTTAAGTTCGCATATTATTTTGAAATTCCACTGGCAACGCCAGACACTTGAGCCAGTATAAGATAAGCACAAAATGCATAGTGCTTTTACAAAACTGTCTAATTTTATAACCATGCTGCATCACAGTAATCTAGTCATCTTTATAAATAAACGAAATATTTTCATGAATATATAATATATATCCAGAGTGAGACCGTAACTGTGGAATATGAAGACGACATTAAAGCTTTAATTAATTGTATTTGATGTGCTTATGAAGCAAATAGTTTTACCAGAACCTTGTAAAATCACCTATAAAGTTAAATAGGTCTGTTTAAACTTCACATTTGTGTACTGTTTTTGGGCGGAAACTGCAGTGTACTGTTTTTGGGCGGAAAATTCAACACAGGACGGATTCCACAGCCTGCAGACATGGAATCCATTTTCACAAAAATAATCGCCTCTGAACACACCAATCAAATAAATGTCAATAATATACCAAAGGGTTGTATAGAAGTACTTTTTGGATGAGAGTAGTCCACTATTGTCACGATAATAAAATCACAAAATAGACATTCACAATATATGTAGATATATGTTATGTATAATGCATCTTTATTTATATAATAATATAATAATGTAGAAAATGTACATTATACAATATACATCTCAAGATTCACAGTTACCAAGATTCAAATATATTCAACCATAGATAAAGCATCGCTGAAGATGTTTTAAATAAAAAAAAATTAAAAGGAGGGGTCGACAGCAAGTGTCAAAAAACCTCAAAATTAGACTGTCCCGGGCTTCTGGTACAGTCCCACAGTCCTGGGACTTTCCCAAGCTTTTGATTGAGAAATAACCCCCATAGTGCTGGGACAGTCCCAACGTCCCGGGCTACTGGGAGTGTCCCAGGCTGTTGGGTCTCTGAGATTGAGAAATAACTCCCGTTGTAGACCACAAATCATCTTAAGACCTTTTCCAATAGATGTCATCTTGAAAGTGAAAAACCCTCCTCATAGTGCCGAAACCGAACCCAACCTCCGCTGTCAATAGATTTTGAATCTGTGGAAAGTGAAAACACGTTTGCAACTATCTGCGTCCTGAGCTGTGTAGAGAAGATTAGTCAAGAAGGTAACGAACCCACCTATCAATTAATCAACCGGACTCACAGTCCATTATCAATCAATTAATCAACCAGACTTACAGTCTATTATCACCGACGCCATTGTTTTACACCAATGCCGTTGGGACTCTGGGTCGTTAGGACTGTCACAAATTTTAAGATTTTGTACTTGCTGTCTTTAGATATTATAACTCTTGAAGTTTAACAATTGTTGAATTATAGACACAAAATATAAATAAAATAAAAAAGGCTCTCTAACAGTACATACTGTAGGCTACTGAACATTTTTTCTTCTTCAAACT